AAATTCTTTCAGCGAAATACTCGGACACACGAGTCCTTTACACAGTGTAAAAATCGCATTTTGTGTCAGGGGCACTTTAAACACAAAATACTACAGACAACGTTAAAATCAACTTGTTGCAGAACGACACAGCGCAAAGCTCTCAAGTTTCAATATTCAATAACACTGGTAAGTCTAATTTCATTATCTATTTCCTGTTTAAACTGCCAGGGTCTATTCAGTATTAATAAAACGCGTTGTGATTGAGTTTGACTACGAACAGCAAACACACTGCAACGCAATTAACTTTGAATCACGTTTTAAATCGTTACTGCTTGAATGTTAGTTGAACTTATAATATAACCTCATATAATCTTTATCAATTGCTTTTCTAGTAAAGCGTTGAATGTTTTTATTGTCTCAAAGCATATATTTTCCCCTCTAAACACATCACCAATATTATTGAGCGCAATACGTCTGAACGCGCAAGGCAACAATGAACGCGAGGTATTACACAGTTAAAATTAAGATACCGAAACCAAAGGTAGTTGTGACAGGAAGAAAAAGACGAGATAATATGGAGGAGTAGACAAATTTTGTTTCAATTGTTGACGTCGGAGAATGCAAAGTTTCAAATCTTCTCAACTGCAGCCACGCAACTGACGCAACCAGCCTTCTGTTGCTGTGATTGTTGAAGAGTTTGAATTAAGGCGACTAACAGTAATTCTCGCGTACTGTAGAATATTATAATTCATTGTTAATCCTGGTGAAATATCAGATAAAGAGAACAACAAACTGTAGACTGTTCAATGATTACACAATTTCAAAACATCAGCGCCTCAAATTACGAATAGCTTTTGATTTGTCTGATCCATTCTGCTATGGGGAAAATATTACGACATAAACTTTGTTTCGAAAGGATAGATTTTAGCTCATGAAACTGTTGACTTGATTCTAAACACGCGCATCAAGTAAATGATTCCTATAATTATATTTGAAAAAGCTTTATACGACTTGATATTCTGACAGTCGTTATGAGGCACGGAAGTTACAAGAATGAGTCTCTCGCCTGAAGGACACAAGCCCGCAATTCAAAAGCTATAGCAAAGGTATTTTACTGGCATTGTTGTCAAAACGAAAACGAACGAAAATATTTTGAAGTATCGACGACGAAACATGAAATAGTCACAATCTGTTTTATGTATGCATGATCACATAGCAACCCTAATCCACGTTTTCGACAAGTCTCGTCTTTGTATTTGTTTGAAAGAATTGAATTAAGATCATGTTACGCCTTGTAATTTATAAACCATTCATCCAGTCACAGTCTAATCCTTGCTGAGATCAGTTGACTCAAGCTGCAGAGAGATTGTGAAGTATTGTCTTGCAGTATTTGCAAAAGTAAAAGTTGGTTTAACTTTTTATGCAACTTGCAATGAGTTCACAGTTTTTTCTGACAGCATTTTGAATTGTAAGGAGTAGAGCTTTTAACCAAGGTCGAATTACAAGGCAAAGTTACAAATGATGCACAGTGTCTATCTGTTGTTATCTTGCACGAAAATTGGACAGAGAATTTAATTTTACAATAGCGAAGCAAATGCAAGTTTAGCGAGATTAAGGGCAGGTTTAATTCAGCCAAAGACATGCTTTACTTGTTACATAAGTAAACGAAACTATATTTGATAACACATTTATAGCAAACCTGACAACAAGTTGTAATAATGTTGTAACTCGCAACTTGTTCAAACTGCCGTCGCGTGCGATGAAACAGGAATTGTACAACCAAAGCCATGTAATCCATAAATCATAATTTATTTTCTAGTCGTCCATAAATGGCTCAGAGCATGGAGAAAGATGAACAAGGTTATGATGAAAGACGTTTTGAAGGAACAATCAGCGAAGATCTCTTCTGTTCTATTTGTCAAGGAGTGCTCAGAAACCCTCGAACTTGCCATAAAGAACATGCATTTTGTCATTTCTGTATTTCTGAACATCTTCGTCATTCCCACACGTGTCCTGAATGCAGAGAACATCTCACTCCAGAAACCCTGAAAGATCCTCCGAGATTTATGAAGAACACTCTGGCAGCGCTGAAAATCAAGTGTGGATACAGCGAAAGAGGTTGTCCAGGCTTTGTCTTGCTTGAGAGTGTACAAAATCATGTTGATAAATGTGGTTTTGCACCCGTGACTTGCAAGAATGAAGGATGTGGAATGGAGGTGAATAAAAGAGATAAAGATCTTCACGAGAAAGATCTTTGTGAGTTTCGAATCGCCAAGTGTCACGACTGTAAAGAGATTAGAGCAAGTCAGGATGAAACAAAGGTAAGATTGTTCTTGTTTGGTTTTTCAAAAAGCTAATTCGATTGTTTTGTAGATGCCGTAGAAACAAACATTTTTACAAAGATAACTGACGCTAGCTTATGTTCTATCCTTATTTAAAAGTTATGTTTTATACAATGCCATATCTTAGATATTTAAATTTTTCTTTGAAGAAAACCGTTGAAGCGATGAAGCAGTCTCAGGCTGAAATGAAAGTGGAATCGAACAAAATGAAGGCAAGAAAATTCTATTTCTTCTTTTGGAGTTTTGCATTGAGAACAGATTTACTAATGAAGGGGATATGAATTAAATACAGTGTTTTTTAATTCAGTATTGTGTGGATCAAGTGAAAGTAACTCAATATGAAATGAAAGTAGAATCAAACAGAATTAAGGCAAGAGATTTCCTTTGTTCTTTTGCAGTTTTGTTTACTAATGAAAAGCATATGAATTAAATACAGTGTTTTTCAATTCAGGATTGTGTGGATCAAATGAAAGTAACTCAAGATGAAATGAAAGTAACTCAAGATGAAATGAAAGTAACTCAAGATGAAATGAAAGTAAGTCAAGATGAAACGAAGGTAAGGCAGTATTTGCTTTCTTAGAATAGTGTAAACATGTTTTAAGGTTTTATCGGAAAGATCCTAATTTCAGCTTATTGTACGTTATATTTATTGAAATGAAACGTTCCGATCAATAATTGTAGCCTATGTAAAGATAGGAAAAAGTTATATAACATGTGATTCTTGACATTTAAAATTTACCAATTTAGGAAAAAGTTGATGAGATGAGACGATCTCAAGCGAGGTTTGAAGCTGAGGTGAAACAACAGTTGGAAAGAATGACGGAAATGATGAATCAGTTATTGCAAGGAAACAATTTAAACAACAACATCAAAGGTGCCAGCGCTATGGAACCAGCAACTGTAGAAAATAATCAAGATGTTATTATTATCGGTGGTTGGTACGAGTCAAAAGATTCCGAAGTATTAAATACAGTCGAGAAATACAACATAGTAGAAGGAAAGTCATCTCCGCTGCCAGGATTGAATCATCCTCGAACAGCATCAGCATCGTGTGTTTACAACAATGACGTTCTTGTCGTTGGTGGTTACGATGGTAAAGTACGAACTGACAAGATCGAAGTTTTGAAGATGAACCAACATCCTTTGCGATGGACAATGTTTGATGGTAAACTGCCCGTCAAATTATCTGGTCATGACGTCATAGTTTATCAAGGAAAATCATATACAATAGGAGGAATTGACTGGAACGAAAGAAAAACATCGAATGCCATTTACGAGATTGCTCTTACCCCACCTTATACTACCAAGCTACTGACGAGAATGCCTGAGGCAAGAAGAAATCACAGAGCAGAACTTGTTAATGGAAAACTATTTATCTTGGGTGGAAGAACCGGCCTTTATATTAAAAATACTTTTGACAGCGTTGTTGTTTATGATTTGATTAAGAATGAGTTCAAGCCATGTCCATCGTTACCTCAGCCTGTTTGTGGTATGTCCACAGTCACTTGGGGTCATATGATCATCGTCGTTGGTGGTTTGGATAAAAATTGCCAGGCATTAAATGACGTCATCATGTACGACACTGAAACGGGGCGAAGCGAGAGACTTCCCTACATGATTTACAAAAGGAGCCACAGCTCCGTCGTGATCATGAATGACTTCATTGTCGTGTTTGGTGGATGGAATAAGGAGCAGGGAAATCTCAACTCAGTGGAATCTTTCACCATTGGTGGACATAACTGGAAAGAACTGCCAAGAATGATAGAAAAGAGAAAGTATGCTACTGCTGTAGTTAAACCTCACAACTGAAAAGATTTTCCACAAACGGTAGTAATTTCGAAGGGTAATATTTACAACTATATATTTTGTGTCTAACATTTCAGTCAACTCTTGCAGGAGATGAATGAAGGCGGTGATACACTATGCAACTTTCTTTGCAACTTGCAATGCAATTCTACTCCTGAGGCATCTAAAGTTGTCTAATACGAACATTTCTCACGATCTGCTGACGTTTTCTTAGCATTTCGAACACTCTTTACAAATTAACATCCCTCAAAATTATTATTGCATTGCAAGTTGCAAGAAAAGTTGCATAGTGTAACAGCGCCTAGCTTAAAAATGTTAATTAATGATTTCATTTTGAAATCTCAACGAAACTAAACGAGCTTCGTTCATAATTACTTTGTAAATATTGTAGATATAATATATATTGGTATATCTCATTTTAAACGAACATTTTAATCTAAACTAGCGAACACTTAATAGTGAAATCAGTAGAATTTTTAATTTCAATTTGATATAATTAAAATAAAGGTAGATTTTTTATATTTTGTACTTTTCTAAGTTTCAATGACTTGGTTGTGCTCAGTCTTTTTCATTACGTCATTATGTCATGAATTATGATGTCATTATTTATACCTTTATATGACGTCACTTGTAGCATTCTGTGCACAGAAAATACCCGTGACTACGATATGCAAGTTCATGAAACGGAAGTCGGCATTTACGATATTCCACAGTGTCCAATAGTGATCTCTGAATCCTGTGTAGAAACACGTTCTCTTGAAATCCTGACAGACGTCAATGCTCCAGTGATCTTTTTAAAAGAATCAGTCAAAGAATGACGTAGAAATACCGGATGTTTTGAATAAGACGAAGCATCAAAGATAAGATTTCAAGTTTTCGTCTTAAACACAAAATACCGCTGACGACGTTATAGAAACCTTGTTGCAAATGGTACAGTAAAAAGCTCTTAGGATATTCAATAACCCTGGTAGGTCTAATTTCATTATTTTTTGTCAATAACAGCGCCATTGTGAATCTAGTTGATGAAGCAGTAAAGATTTGTTTAAGATGGATCGTAAACATTGCCAAACAGTTAACCTCGAGTCGTATTTATAAGTCAACGTTTGACTGTTACTGTTAGAATGTTCGTTGAACTAGTTTTGTAGGTAATTGAGGTTTTGAATAGCAGAGATATTCGGTTCGTTCCAGTTCGATTAATAATGATCTGACTGGTTCAACAGATGAATCACGACTTGTAGTTAAACCTGTCTGTTATGAACTGCGATCGGAAAACCTTTGCTAAAACTTTAGACTTTCTATGATTACCGAAGTCCAAAATATTAGCGTCTAAAATTACCAATACAATTCATCATCAAGTTTAAAATATATAATCCTTTGCCTAATAGTGAAATACTTTATATTTAGACATAAACTTTGTTTTTAAAGGCTTGGAATTTATAGCACTTAAATCCATCCGTTTATTTGCTTAACAACAAGCATTGTAGGTGAATAAATTCTTTGTTTCAGACAGCTTTGTATGGCTTGTCATGCAAGCGCTGGAAAGACAAAGAAAGATGAAAATCTTTCGATGTAGGCACAATATACCTCATGCATGCGTTAAATCACGTATCAGATAAGCCTAATACGTATTGAATTGGCCATGAATTGATTTAATATCATGTTACAAGTTCCAATTCATAAAATATACAAAAATTGATCTGGTTGATTTTTAAGCTTTGGAGGCGAGTTGCAGTGGATGCCATCAAACGCTGCACTTCAGACTGCAATTAGACGCAGTTAAATAGTTTGAACGGCATTTTTTTAGGCGTCGATAAATGGCTCAGAGAATGGAGGACGACGAACAAGGTTATGATGAAAGTCGTTTTGAAGGAACAATCAGCGAAGATCTCTTCTGCTCTATTTGTCAAGGAGTGCTCAGAAACCCTCGAACTTGCCATAAAGAACATGCATTTTGTCATTTTTGTATTTCTGAACATCTTCGTCATTCCCACACGTGTCCTGAATGCAGAGAACATCTCACTCCAGAAACCCTGAAAGATCCTCCGAGATTTATGAAGAACACTCTGGCAGCGCTGAAAATCAAGTGTGGATACAGCGAAAGAGGTTGTCCAGGCTTTGTCTTGCTTGAGAATTTACAAAATCATGTTGATAAATGTGATTTTGCACCCGTGACTTGCAAGAATGAAGGATGTGGAATGGAGGTGAATAAAAGAGATAAAGATCTTCACGAGAGAGATCTTTGTGAGTTTAGAATCGCCCGATGTCACGACTGCAAGAAAATAAGAGCAAGTCAAAGAGAAACTATGGTAAGATTGTTCTTGTTTGGTTCAAGGTTGTTAATAGTAGAATTGCTTTGTTAATATAGTTAAGGCATATTAACTTTGCATGCAGTGTACTGAGAAAGGGTCGCGTTAAATTCAAACCGTAGCATTTTCCATTCAATTTAGGAAAAAGTTGATGAGATGAGACGATCCCAAGCGAGGTTTGAAGCTGAGGTGAAACAACAGTTGGAAAGAATGACGGAAATGATGAATCAGTTATTGCAAGGAATGGTTCTTACTGGTCCAATCAACAACCAAGATATTATTGTCATCGGCGGTCAGTATGGCCCTAGACATAATCAGATCTCGAATATAGTCGAGAAATACAACATAGTACAAAGAAAGTCAACTCCGCTACCACGATTGAATCATCCCCTTTTATCAACAACATCATGTGTTTACAACAATGACGTTCTTATCGTTGGTGGTTTCGATGGTAAAGAAGGAACTGACAGGATCGAAGTTTTGAAGATGAGCCAACATCCTTTGCGATGGACAATGTTTGATGGTAAACTGCCTGTCAAATTATCTGGTCATGACGTCGTAGTTTACCATGGAAAATTATATATAATAGGAGGATATGACTGGGATGAAAGAAAAACATTGAATGCCATTTATGAGATTGCTCTTACACCACCTTATACTGCCAAGCTGCTGACGAGAATGCCTGAAGCAAAAAAGAATCACAGAGCAGAACTTGTTAATGGAAAGCTATTTATCTTGGGCGGAACAACAACCGGTCTTAGTAAAGATGCTCTTGACAGCGTTGTTGTTTATGATTTGATTAAGAATGAGTTCAAACCATATCCATCGTTACCTCAGCCTGTTTGTGGCATGTCCACAGTCACTTGGGGTGATAAAATCATTGTTCTTGGGGGCTCAGATAGAAATAATCGGTCATTAAATGACGCTTTTATGTACGACACTGAGACTGGATTAAGTGAGCGACTGCCCTGCATGATTTACAAAAGGAAAGGCAGCTCTGCCGTGATCATGGATGGCGTTATTGTCGTGTTTGGTGGACACAACGCAGAGCAGGGATATCTCAACTCAGTGGAATCTTTCACTATTGGTGGAGATGGCTGGAAAGAACTGCCAGGAATGATAGAAAAACGACTTCTATCCACTGCGGTTGTTAAACCTCACGACTGAAACGTTTTCTCAAAATAAACACTCCAAAAAAGTCGAGAACTTTTATCTAGTGTTCAAAACGAGATTAACTCGACTGAATTAACTGGGAGATAATTCATATCCATTGATACATCTGTTAGTTATAATAATACAAATATAAAATAAATTTCTTAGGTTTTATTGTGGTGAATGCTTACATGTTTTTCTATTCTTACTAACGTTTGGAATTTGTCTCTAATTTGTTGTTTTGTGAATTCTTTTGCAGAAGGGCACAATTTCCAATAATTGCTGTTGTTCAAAGCTGTAATCGGGTTAAGATTGATTTCTAGCAAAGCCATAGGAGCCTGGATAGCTTCCTGGCCATAGGAGCCTGGATAGCTGAAAACTCTGTATTAGTGATCTCAAGAGTCGGTGGTGGTTGTTTGAACAGCAGCATCCGTATTTTCTGAGTCGCTTCTCTTTAGCCGTGTTTACACGAAGGGGCTGACATTTACCTGACATTTACCCGTACCTGAGAAGTACCTAACCAAGTTTTACAGGGTGTGTTTACACCAGTTACCTAACGGGACTTATATACATACACGCAACATAAAGTACTTTGAGAAGAGTATTAAAATAAGCTTGCAGTTCTTTGTTTGTTTTTTTCGTACAAACTACAAAGTCTCGTAAAAGAATACGACGTAGTGATTACTGGCATTAATGGCAAACAACGATTTCATGCAAAATTAAAAAATGTATGATATAACTTATCGGCAAGTTCCGAAATTCGCAATGTAGCTAATTATCAACTCTGAGTTTCCCCCTAATTTTTTCAAAATCACGCTAAAATTTCAAGACCGCTGAATGCTGACATCAAAGACTCGAATTTACGTTTGTTGTCATGGAAATTAGCTTGGATCACACTTGGGTTAATGAAAATGTGTTTACACCGCAAGACTGACCCGAGACTTACCTAGAACTTACCTAATACCATGTTTTCAGGCCACCTCTAATGCTTGGCCTGAAATCATGGTCTTAGGTCGGTCCTAGGTTGGTCTTAGGTCAGTCCTAGTGCGTTTACACTACAGGACTAACTGCTTAAGTTAGGTCTTAGGTCAGGAATAGGTCTCTAGTGTAAACACTGCTTTTGATGGGTAAGTTCTCGTCTTGTCGCAAATTGGCGACTGCTGTTTTGAATTGTTCTTCTTCGATGGAAGACATTTTTCTTCTGGTTCTTTTAGTTGCAAACGTGGGTTGTGATGAACGAAAACGAGCCAATTTCTTCCCTGCGTTTCTGGCAGGGAAGAAATTGGCTCGTTTTCTACTAACCTCACAGTTCGAAGTGTAGTTTCGGGTCCTGTGAGAGAACTTGATTTTGAGTGTACTGATAAGCGTTGACTACGTCGTCAGTTTTATCAGTCAGAGCATAGTAGTTGTCTGAAGTTTGTGGCAAGTGACTCATTGCATTAGCCAGTTGAAATCTTTGTATCGTACAAGTGTCATCATTCCGAGATATTTCTCTCTGCGCCGTGTTACTGCGGTCTTGAATGAAGCTTTGGAATTGGGACAAAGGGACGTAGCGAGATTGTTAACACGTCGTTTACACAACGTCTGGTAAGCAGTTAGTTAGACTACCAACTAATTACGTACCAGAAGTTGTGATAAAGAAGTGATTGTTCAGCGCTTTACCTTGCGATTGGCATGTTGTGTAAGTCTGCCGTAGGTATCTGAAATACTTTGTTGCCATAGAAAAGTCGCATTCACTCCAAAGTAATGGTGCTGGACCGTTGCTGGAGATTTTGTGCTACCACAAATGGGTTACCATCAGCGAATTACCGCCTTTGTCGTGTTTCGCCTTTCTGCCACACGAAATTCATCCATGGTTAAGTTGAGTTAAGAAGAGAGTACCTCCTGTTCCAGCAGCTGTTGAGAAATCGCTCTTAACAGTAGCGGGAGCAGAAGGTACTCCCTGAATTCGTTGAAGATCTCTTCCGTTCTTATAGACTGCGAAGATTCCTGGGAGAAATTATTTCCAATTCTTACAGACTCTTCACAGTTGAGCCCAGTTTGGTATTGTTCCGCCGTAATCAAATTCTGCCTTTGTTTTCATTTCAGTTCATGTGATCTTCGCCGTTTACCCGTGTTGATAATTTCTCCCCAATTTTTTATCTTTAGGATTGCTGTTTCTATGCTGTTCAAATCAACTTGGACGAACTCCATCAAGCATTTCAATTGGAGATTGTGTGCTTTAGCAAAGTTTAGAAAAGACATATAGGAGAAACTATAATGTACTAATGTGCCAGGTTGCTTCGGAACCTCTCTTAAATTGTTGCCTTCAAAGAAAGAAGGCAACTATTTAAGAGAGGTTCCTTCTAATTATTTCGACGGTCTCCTCTTTCCAAAGAAGCGAGCAATCGTTCGCCGTTTGGTCAACCTGAAAAAGTAACTTTCCAACGTTGCTAACTTCTTCTCCGCTGCACGTCTTTTAAAAATGTCAAAAATGTTCAATATTTATTTGCAAAGGGGTCAAAGAAACCCGGTTCTAAAAATGTACAATAGTTGTTGAACATTTTTAACACCGGGTTTCTTTTCACCCTCGTTGCTATCTCCCCTCTCTCCGGGTCTTAAGGTGTCGGAGGACCGTGACTGGGCTGTGAGAAGGTGCGTTTTCTATTCCTCGCCCTTCTCCGGATTCCTCGCCACTCTTTTGCTTTGCACATCAGACTACAGAATGGGAATTAACCATTTATTACTTAAATTTATGAATTTGGGTATTGAGTTTTGCAGTATTGAGTTTTCATACTTACAAAACATATTCCTCTGACCCTTTATGTATTTCATGTATAATTGCAAATATGTGGGCCAGTCGTCACAACTGTCCGGGTGCAATTCTCGACAACGCAAGGCTCCAAGATTGCAAGTTAGCCGCCTTGGTTTTTGCCTATTCGTTGCAACCTTGCTGTGTTACGGCCTTCTCTTGTGTATATCCGTGAATAACTTTTACGTGCTGTGGTAATGATGCCCTATTTTTTCCACATTCAGGGTTGTGCTGCTCCTTCAGGCAACGTTGAACACGTGTTGCCCTTCAGCAGCCGTATAACGAACGACGAAGCAATAGTTTTAAAATCTTTATTTACTAACGTTTGTCCGTAAAAAGAGTGTACTTGTAAAGCGTAAATAATACACAAGCAAAAACGAAGGAAGGGACCCCCCAGGTAGAACCCAGCGAGCCAATGAGAGCCGCTATAGCAGTAAATTAGCGCGAAATGAAGAAACAGGAAATACTAATATGTAAATGTAGTGTAGGGCCAGAAGGGCCAGAACAAGGGTATCTTTTTATCTAAAAGAAAATTAACTGTAACTCCGGAAAATAAATGTGCCTCGCTTTAGAAATAGGATACATGAAAAATACGAGGAACACTTTCACGTTTTGACCATGAACTTCTTTGGGAGAGGTACACGAATAAAATATACTCACCCAATCTCGTTTTTGCTTGGCCTTCGCCAAGGGATAGGTAGAAAAAATTAAATCAAATTACTGCTATTAGATATTGACATTTTCACCATTAATTTACACAGGCTTATTTCAAGAGTACTCGATCAACGTTGTACATGTAATATCCTTTGATATCCCTTTTTTTAATGTAAAGGAACACTTTTATCTAAACCAAAAAATTTGTGTATGTTTTGAGCATTTTCTATTCGAATCACTTAGGATGGTTGTGTTGACGTGACGCCAGTCGCTTCCATGACGTCATTAGTCGGTATGACGTCATGATTGGGTGTGTCATCATCCACGACATCCTTGCTGGCTATGACGTCATGAGAAGATTTCCCGCGCATTCTTGAACGAAGTCTTTTGTTGGTTGGGGAAAATCGTCCCAGGCCTCCAACACGACTTCCTCTGAAGGTGTTTTCTTCACTGTTTTCCACTTCCTGATTAGAGAAATTCAATTTTGCATTACAAGAGATCGGTAAACAGTATTAACGCGAAATATTTTGGTGAGTAAAATCATCGGGCATTAGACAGAGTAAAATACTAAAGTAGGTCACATCTGGGTGCATTGCAAGCTAATGGGTTAACAAGAGACACTGACAGATAGTTTTGTTAACTTATTAACTGACAGTACTCTTCCACTGATGAGTAAAATCATCTGACATTAGACGGAGTGAAATACTAAAGTAGGTCACATCTGGGTGCAATATTTTTGCAAAATCACCAAATCGTTACCTCAGCTTGAAATGAAGTTCCATCCGAGCCTTTCTGAGACGATCTCCCTCGCAACTCTCTGTCATCGTTCTGACTTTCAACAACAATCTTGCTTCTCTTCCTCCTGCCCTTCCTAGACGACTTTGGGCCAGTTCTTCTCCTCTTCCTACCGCTGACAGCAGTGCCCGCGCTGCTAGTGCTAGCGGTCATTTCAGGACTAGAACAGTCTAATTTACGTGCTTCCATACTTGTAGTTCCAGCCGCTTCCGTTCCAGAGATCTCTGAACTTTTCCTGATTTGTGTCGTCTGTATAAGACATTTTTCGCTCATACAATTCTCAGAAGAGATTTCTTTGCAAGCACTTGTCCCAGAAGTACTTTTATCCGGGATACTTTGGCCCGGGGTACAATGCTCCTGGGATATTTGTTCCTCGGTAATTTCGGTCAGTGAATGTCGTTCAATTTTATTACTTTCTTCACGTGATGTCTGTTTCTCTGCATTCAAATTTGTCGGTGAAACTTTGCATGGGTTTTCCGCTGAACTGATGTCTCGTGGGCGCGGTGAAGGGGTTTGATAAACTAAAGGTGGCGCCTCGCCAGATTGGTTGAATAAAGGTCTTCTGGGGGATTTTCTTAAGTCACTCAGATCGCTAGTTCCATTGACAGAGGTGTCGGGAGGATCAGTTGGATTAATTTGTGATATATACTTGTTCAACGTTGGTGAATTCAACTCTTTCCTTGAAATGACAGGGGGGGATGTGGATGACGAACCCGATGACGTCAATGTTGGTAACGTCATAGTTACTGACGTCATCGTCATGTGTGTTAGGGTGGCTTGATTTGAGGTTGTAGTT